GNGNGAGAGGGAGAGGGAGGGGAAGCGAGAAGGGGAAGATGGAAAGATTATCTGACGGTTTCCTTCGCCGGCTCGTTTCCCTCGAGGCCGCTCCCTTCGTTCGTCGTCGTCGTCGTTTCACCGGGCATCGTGGTCGTTCCTCTCCGTCCCTCGAGCATCCTCCTCCTTCCCCTCTTCTTCTCCCGCTCGGTGGCAGTCGTCACGGTCGGGTGAACGGCGAGGAGAGAACGTCGGTCTGTCCCCCCTTGCACGATCAGCCCTGCCTGGGGTGAGAGTGGGAGGTGTCAGCTTTAGCGGGTAGTTTGGACGGTGGGATTTTTGGACGAGGATCGAAATTACGTTTCGATCCTTTTTTCAATGATCAAAGTGTCCAAGTAAAATTTAAGAAGGTTACGATCCATCGATCGATTCTTTCTATGATGGAAGTTTAAGATTAGGATTTTATGAAATTTGTTTGTATATTTGTAAAATTCTATAAGTTAAATTAAACTGTGATCCAATTTGATATTTTTGAAAAAATATGAGATTGAAAAAATTTTCTATGATAAAGAAAGACGCTTTGTCTTTGAGGAAAACAAGTTTCGTTTCAAATTTTTTCAAAATTTGGTTCGAAATTTCTTTTGTTTTAGATCTTCAATAATATCTCTTCGTCCTGTTCCAATAATTCTTCTTCTTTCTTCATTCGCAAAATTATTTCGTCTTTTTCTACGAAATTTAGCAACGTTAAAAAATTCACGATTCACTTGCGAATGTAAAAAAAAAAAAAATTATAAAAGGCTCGTATTGCAAAGTTCTATAAATAATAAAACGTAATTAAAGTATGATGATGAAAAATGAAATTAGAAAAGTTTAAAGAAAAAAAAAAAAAAGTATAAGAGATTATTCTATATATAATAAAGAAAAATACCGCTTGTTTGTGAAAAACAAGTTTCGTTTCCGAAATACCAAGTTAAATGAGAATTGAAGGAGGGCGAAATTTAGGTCCAGCAAAAAAAAAAGACTGGAAGCTCGACGAATTAATTGAAAACGTTACGTGCTATCCCCACGGGTAGGCGATCGAAAAAAAGAAAGAAAGAAAGAAAGAAACACGATACATTCGAACTTTTCCAACGAGAACTTTTCCTACGTACATCGAATGTCGAGGGAGAAGAGACGAAGAACTTTCGTAGCAGAAGCAAGTTTCCCAAGAAGCCTCGAGCTTCTTTCTCTCTTCTCCTCCCCCTCCCCCTCCTTAATCTCTCTGAATTCTGATCGCGACAGGAGGAGGAGGAGGACGATAAAAGTATTAATAAATCGACCAAGAAGTCGAACCTTTCCCCCCTCCCCCCTCTTCGCCGGGGAAGGGGAAAAATTCCAAACAGATTTTTATCTAAAAACTTTCCTATCCAACTCTTTTTCCAGCGAAAAATTCTTCTTCTTCGTATATAAATAGAATTTATCGTAGACAGGTATTATATATTTATAGAATTTTTCTTTTTTTTTTTTTTTATTTCTCAAACCATCTTCCAAATTTTCATTCTTCAAATTTCTACTTCTACTTCCCCTTTCACCACCACCTTTGTTGCATAACAAAGTTTCAACAGTTTCGACTTTCGTTTGTATTTCCATCCTAGAGCAATTCTCTCCCCTCCCTCCCCCCTCCTAAATTCCCATTTCCATCCTTCCACGAGTCTCTCTCCATCCCTCGAGAGTTCCACTCCTCCTCCCAAACTAGGCTCTCGCCTTATCTCTCGCGAGACAATATGTCAACCATTCTTCTTCTTCTTCTTCTTCTTCTTCTTCTTCTTAATCTACTTCATTTTTCTTTTCTTTTTTTTTTTCTTCTTTCGAAACCGATTTAACCAAATCGCTGTTCAGAACTGTGATCTACTTCTCTCTTTGCGAGGGAAAAAGCGCGGGAAAAGCGCGCCTGGGTCGAGCCTCGAGCAGAGGCGGAGAGAGAGAGAAAGCACTAGGCTCGTTAAATTCTCTCCAACTCGTACTCGTTGAGCGGACTTAATTTCACGGAACTCTAACAAGCCGCCGGGCCGTGGTTCCCTAAAGCCTTTAAAAATTCGAGAGCCCTCCGCCATTTTTCCCTCCTCCTCCTTCTTACCTCCTTACCACCGCCCAGATGGGAGGATCGTCGTCGATTCGAGTTGGCGCCCGTTTCCAACGATTGTTTCCACCTTCCCTTCTAAATTGTCTCGCCTCTTGGCTTTCCGCCTTGTTTCCTAACTGGGACTTTGAGCGCCAGCTCGAGCGCGTTTTAATCGTTCCACCGCTATTATTTCTAATTACACTGTACAATTCGTTCCCTCCCTTCCCCCTCTCCTCCTCCCTCTTATTCTATTTACACGCGATCACGCGTGGGAAAAAATGCGGATATGAGTAGAAGCGTTAAAAGTTTATCCATCTAGTGATTTTCTAGTGGGAATTTGAACGACGATATCCGATATATTCGTGTTTAAAGAATTATTCACTTTCTAATCACACTGTAATTCCTCTCTTCCCTTATTTTATTTATACGCGATTATGTTGGGAAAAATACGAATAGATGGGATGTGTAAAATCAATCGATCAATCGAAGTTTATCTATCTAGTGACTTTCTAGTAGAACTTTGAACAACGATATCCGATATGCTTATGTTTAAAGAATTATTCATTTTCTAATTACACTGTAATTCCTCCTTCCCTTATTTTATTTATACGCGATTATATAGGGAAAAATGCAAATAGATGGGATATGTAAAAATCGTTTTCGAAGTTTATCTATCTAGTGACTTTCTAGTGGAAATTTGATCGACGATATTAAAGAATTATTCACTTTCTAATTACACTTTGTAATTCCTTTCCTCCCTTATTTTATCTATACGCGATTACACGTGGGAAAAAATGCGCGATAGCGTGTGAAAGCGTTAAAATCAATCGTTTTCGAAATTTATCCATCTAGTGGATTTTCTAGTGGAAATTTGAACGACGATATCCGACATACTTACGTTCAAAGAATTATTCACTTTCCAATTACACTTTGTAATTCCTTTCCTCTCTTTATTTTATTTATTCCGCGCGATTACATGGAGAAAAAATGCGAATAGATGGGATATGTTAAAAGCGTTAAATCGTTTTAGAAGTTTACCCATCTAGTGATTTTCTAGTGGAAATTTGAACGACGATGTGATCCGACACACTTGTTCAAAGAATTATTCACTTTCGCGGGACTTCGAGTTTTCTTGTATAATAAGATCAAGCGCGACGAGTGGGGGAGGGCGGA